ATTATAATGTATTGATTTTAATCCAAATATATAGGATAATTCCCGATTTCTTTTTAACTAAGGATATCTAAATCATAGGGTTACAAAGTAAAAAAAGATAATTAAGTGCAAATGTAAAAATCACAATAAACAGAAATAGCAAAATGTACGTCCTACCAAAAATGTAATGCCTCTTGGAGATTTGCCCCCCCCCGCCCCTTCTCATTTTCTTCTCCCTTATTTTCTCTTCATTCTGGAGGGGGCAGAATCGCTACATGGTTTCGAGTCTGTACACATTCAAATAACAATTGTCAATCAGTAATAAATCAATATAAAATAACCTTGAACGTGTTTCGTAAAGGTTATAAACCTAGATACATTCCCTAAGCAAATATATACATGAAAAATTCGAGGCTCTGAATTTAGATTTAATCTCAATTACAGATCGGAATGAAGATTGTGTCTGGGCTCGTACGTGCCTCAACGCGGTTTATTTTATCTTAACATTATAGCTCGCATGATCACGAGTTATCAATTTTGAGGAACTAATGAGAAAAACATAACCGCAATCAAGTATTTATAGAAAAGGATATTACAATTCCATTCTTGTTAGTAATCATGAAGGTGACCTTGCCAAATTCAGATTCCAAGTCTACAATGTTGGCTCATTCTATCTCTATAGTCGTCATACTCATACAGCCAGTACTTCGCGAATTGCAGTGGTTGCCGGTGACGTACCGCATTATGTATAAAATCTTAGTTTTAACTTATAAATGCATTCATGAATTGGCACCAATTTATCTGCAAGAATTAATCGAGGAATACAAACCCTCACGCAGTTTACGGTCATCTTCACAATAAATATTAAACCTCGTATCTACTTATGGTAATCGCTCCTTTCGCAAAGCTTCTGCTGAACTTTGGAACAGATTACCTTTAAATGTAAAAAACTGTCAAACTGTTAACCTATGATTCAAAACTAGTCTCAAGACACATTTATTCAAAATTGCGTTTGATGATTAATTAACTCTGTTCACTTTGACGTGTATTCCATATGTATTGTAATTTGTATGTCTATTTGCATTTTTAGTTGTGTATAAGATGTAATTGTTTATCAGTCTATTTTGTGTGTATAGCGCTTAGAGACTTCGGTGGTAAACGCTTTATAAATAACGTTTTTATTATTATTTATTATTACAGTCATGTCGCCCATTAATTATCTCGCTTTGTTCTCTCAGGCTCTCATAGTCATAATAATAATAGCTCACATTTATAATGCGCCTCATACTTTGTTTCTAGGCGCAGCACATATAACCCGGTCATCGGATTCATGCTTACCCGCACACAAGGTATGCACATTCTCCACTTCCTGGGGAGCATTCCAGCCAGTCGCCATTTTACAAGCGCCATTGCTAATCAAACCACATTAGCTTTCGCATCCTACCGGGTACCTATTTAACACCTGGATGAAATTTTGTTTTGCTTTGAACTCTATGCACATTATTTTACAGGGGCTCTTTTCTGATTTCCGGGGGCTCTTTTGGGCATTTCGGGGGCTATTTCGCCCCGAGCCCCCGTTTATTTTTTTTCACTGGTCATGTAGCCCATTAATTATTTCTTTCTGTTCTCTCAGGCTCTGAGTCATACAGTCATCTAGCCCATTAATTATCTCTTTTTGTTCTCTTAGGCTCCCATTATAGTCATTCAGTCATGTACCTCATTAATTATCTCTTTCTGTTCTAGGCTCTCATAGTCATACAGTCATGTAGCCCATTAAATATCTCTTTCTGTTCTCTTAGGCTCGCATAGTTATTCAGTCATGTAGCCATTAATTATCTCTCTTTGTTCTCTCAGGCTCTCATTGTCATACAGTAGTCATACAATCATGTAGCCCCCCCCCCCCCCCCCCCCCCCCACACACACACACACACACTCCGGGGTCGGAATGACCGCATGCGTGTTACCAAAATGTCCGGTAAAGGGGTACTTTTCAAGCACCAAAGTCCGGCTCGTACATACACAAAATTGACTTTACACACCGGACTTGGGGGTGTTTTCAAAAGGAGGGAACACGCATATGCGTACCCTAAATAACACTGATTGGGGGGCCGGGCATGTAGCACATTAATTTTCTCTTTCTGTTCTCTTAGGCTCTCATAGTCATTCATGTCATCTAGCCCATTAATGATCTGTATCTCTTTCTGTTCTCTTAGGCTCTCATAGTCATACAGTCATGAACCCCATTAATAATCTCTTTTTGTTATCTCAGGCTCTCAATCTCATACCGGTACATGTATGTTTGATCTGTTTTCGTCTTTTGCAACAAATTTTGATTACATCACAAATCATGCATACCCGTACTTTATTACATTTTACCTATCGTATATCAATTCTGAAGGTGACATTGTGTGATGCATCTGTGATGACACATTTTACATGATATGAATGATCGCGCGGTACATCGAGAGCAAAAGAGGGCACCATTGTGTGCCTCGATGAACACGTGTGCATGTCGATCATGTTACCACATCTCAATTGCATGCTCACCACATCTGAATAGACCGGACTACTAACATATTCAAACTGTATGAACAATTTTTAAAGGTAAAGGTTGTCAGGATTTCGGGTATTGTAGTTCAACTCCTAAACAGGTTCCCTGGAAACATCCACAAATTTGATTATGTTAGTAAACTGGTCTATTGCAAGTTGTGCAAAAAGTTTACGATTGATTTTATTCAATGTTTTTGTTTTTATTTTCGGATCGAAACCGTCAGTACCATAAAAGGGGAGGAGATGGGAGGGGAGGGGATGGGGATGGGGAGGGGGGGGGGGTGAAGAGTTAAATTAAGAGAAAAGGAGAGAAAATGACAACTGTAAAGCCAAAAGATCTTGCGACTTAAATCTTTTGTGAATCGTAAAGGACAGCCATTTGAACAAGAAGAAACTGTTACAAATTTACAAAAAATTAATATTGAATAAATCGTGATTCACTTTATCTCGTGACAAGAAGTTTCATGAAAGTGAACCACAATTCTTGAACATTTTATGCACGCAAAAGTTTCTGGTTTCACTGTAGTATATATGGCAAGATATAAGATAAAACAGGGAATGAAATGTGAGGAGAGACAGGGAAAGGCCCAAAACTGAGAGAGAAAGAGAGAGAGAGAGAGAGAGAAAGATAGAGAGAATAATTATTTACCACATTGTAAAATCTGAACACAAATAGAGGACTCAAGTGACACTTTCTAGAAATAAAATTGTGCTTTATATCAAATACAGTTATCTTTCATAATTATACTGTTTCATTCACATTACAATGATAGACAATCAATACAATATACTGGTATAATAGTGTATATCAAAGCCTTTTTTTAACAAGGATAACATAAATGTATATTTTAATTTTTTTATAACGCATACATTCATTGGTTTATAGTCTGGTTGTGCCTAGTAACTATGGCAAGATATTATGAGAGGGATTTGTGTCTTGCAAAATGGCATCTTTTCTGGACAAAATGTACTTCAAACTTTGGGTAGTTCTGTATTAAAGAGGAATGGTTAATCCATTTCGTGTACCTACAAAATAAATGTGTAAAATTGATTCCCCCTGCTGGCAAATTTAGACAGAACATTAAATTCCCAACCCTCCATATGAAATATGTCATGTAAAGTAAAATGTGAAAAACATTGAAAATAATCATATCAAAATACAAGCAAAATAAGTAGATTCGTTCAAACAGAGGAGGCATTTGTGGCATACAATAATAACATCATTGTTTGAACAATTATTTATAAACTCCACGGTAAACTCCAGGGTGAGATGTAATATAATCTTCCACAGAAGAACAGACTACAACACGCTGGAAATATCCAGTTAAATGATCTGTACTCTTCATCACCAAATATTTGTTGTTTATCAATCTTTTCTGTAAGTGCAGCATAAATATGTACACAAACATTGGTATTTATTTTGACATATCAGATATCTGTTTAGTCTATGGGTTTCAATTGCAATTTGATTCCCCATCGTGAAACTGTGACATCAAGAAATGCTTACAGGATAAAACATGAACATTTGAGATGCTTCAACTCCTTCTACATAAAAAAAACAAAAACAACTTGTTTTCAATGATAACAAGAACTTTATTCTCTTGATATGTCATATTTTCAAAGGATTTTGCAATAACTCTGGAAATATTCGACCACAAAGGCGAGAGGGGGAAAAAAAATGTTTGTAGACATAACAAGATCTCAAAGACTTCAAGAAAAAGAAAAATCAACCGGAAACAATTCCAATAGCCTTGAGCATCACATTTTGACAAATGAAAACATGACGATGACATATTATGTAATCTGAATGTGATTACAAATCTATAGACAATGCATGAAGATATTGAAACTGTTCTTCAGTTGATTTCATGAAAGTCTTTGCAATGTTCAAGGCATAACCATTTAGTCATGAAGGACTCTTAAAAATGTGCTTAACTAAAAGAAAAGGCTGACATGTTACATTCCCAATAGAATATAAATACAGACACAAATTTAAATATATCCAAAATATGGCTGCCCCCCCCCTTTTTTTTATTGGGGGGGGGGGGGGGTACAAATGATCTGCATCTGCCCATGCCCATTATAGGCCCCCCCCCCCCCCTCCACGATTTTCTTATTGTTCAGGAACGCATGCGGATGGCGCCCCGCCGCTTGCTGACTTCATTCAAATGTTTCATGTATCTTATCTTCAGACATTATACCTCAGTTGCAATTGCACTTGAAAAGAGCGAATCTAACGAAGGATTCGAACCTGAACAAGGACATCAAACACATCACCACTTCACTTTAGTCAGCTATTTCTAGATCACATGGTGTATTGGTCCAGTGTTAATACCTGTTTTTTCTTTCTTTCATTGATACTGATACTGTATGTAGCTGCACCTGGAAACTGTATCTTTTTTAATCTAAACCTTTCTCCAGAATGACCAATCATCAGCGTCTTGGTCCAGTATTCCTGCATTTTCAAAGGAATATTGATTCTGTTTGCAGCTGCAACTGGACACTGTTTTTTTTCTTTACTTCTTTCTCAAGAATATTCGACCACTGGCATCTTCTTCCAGCATTTCCTTCTGCAACCAGACACCATCTTTGTCTCGCATCTTTCCTCAGCACTGTTCCATTTTTGTTTGTTGAAGGTCATGATGGGATTCCCAGGATGTCTAGCTTATAGAGGGTTATCCTGCCAAAGAAATCAGTGCTCTCTGCAAAGACGATCTTCAAGTAACTGCTGGCAGAACAGCCTGGAGGAAACTGGAAGATGTGGAGAAATGGAGAGTTAAGGAAACACATGGACAGGAAATTAGCATAGCATATGAACATGTATGAATTCAATCCGAATTCTAATGATTTTTTTTTTTAATGCAGGTGCAGCTGTGCAGCCACATTTATACAATTCCAGATGTTTGCTTCCTAGTTACTTCCTCTACTTTCTCCAGGGTGTCTCAGACTACAGTGAAAAAATAAATCAATTATCTCAAATGTTTATTCATCTTGTATATAATGTGATGATGCTGGAAATAAATTTTCAACTCAGTTCAATTTAATTTAAAATCTGCCTCTCTGAAAGCGTGAAATTTTCCACAGAAAATCTGAAACAACCGATGTGAAGAAAAAAGAAATACTGACAAAAAATCAATGTTCAACACTGACTGAATTTTGTAGATAAAACAAATTATTTGACCAGCTGAATATTTGTCTGTATGATGCTATTGATTGATTGATTGATTTTTTTTCTTCCATTTCATACATCGATTGTTTGTTTGCACAATAAAAACATAGCTGTCCAAGTAAGTTCAAAATTATGAAATGAAACAGGAACCTACTGGAAAGCATAGCTTGTTTTTGTACGTTCCCAAGAATAAATATAATATACCTGTAAACATTATTTTCATAAATCATTTTAAAGTTATATCATAATCATATAATAATCATATCATAATCGTATAATCATATTCAAGCTATGAACACCATTTTCAAATGGTTTTACACCTACATGTATTAACCTGCTGACTACTGAATAGAGGACCCAGTCAGCAATTTGATCTTGATTTTAAAGAAACTTAGAGTGAGATCATTAACTTACCAAATACTAACCCTGAGAAACTAAGGCTTGTGCCTATGGAAAAATGTATGTTGTACCAAATCAAACCATATCCAACAGGCTAAACTTAAGGTGCATTACAGGAAACATATGGATTATGGTTAATCTGTAATGTTTATACATCTATCAAATAACCATATTCCATAATCATTTTAACAGGTCACATAAATTGGAAGACAATTACCTTGCACATGATTTCCTGCGCTTTTTTTCTTTCCAATCATTTAAAATACATGTTGTATATCAATCACGAATAAGGTATGTAGCATCAATCAATGATAATCCCATTAATAACTAAAATATCAACAAAGACTTAAAGCCAGATGTGCTCCCAGGGTTTTTGTTTCATTGATACTACAGAATGAAAACAAATTAAGTGAATAAGTTCTAAAACACACAAACACAATCACACCCACAAGATACACTTAAAATTAATGCAACATATACCAGTATTGCTCTAGAGAGCTCTGGTGACTTCAAACAAACAACTGTACCTATTAACAGCACTAGAGGGTGCTCTTTTAGTTTGCATTGTAGTGTTGATCCATACATACCGGTAAGCATACATGTGTACATGCAGGTCTACCTCAGAAAGATTAATGATATCAGCATCTGTCCAGTTTGAAAAAATGAACTAATTTTCAAGTTACATAGCCAATCAGTGAATCAGATGAACCTCTTCAGGGATTTAAGGAGGATTGGTCTAAAGACTCTTTAACCCTCTGCTGTACTCTGTCCTTGTAGATACATGTATGATGGAGCTCTCATGGATGGACCACTGGCCTATTTATTTATTCATCAAGAAATCTGTTAATTTTCGGTTAAAGGGTTTTCAAAATGCTTCCAACGGTCATTGAACCATCAGTTTACCATTTTGACTCAGCCCTGAAATGCAAAGCTTGTTATTCTTACTTTATAAATCTAACTAGTATCATTATTATTGTTGTCTTGTTGTTGGTATCGTTACCATTGTCAATATCGCCTTTACCATCATCATAATCATGACCATTATTAGGCTAACCATTATCATAATTTTAAGAAAAGGATATTTGTAAAGTGTTATCATCCTGAGGGTAGAAGTCCATGAGTTTCTTTGGACGTTCTCCAGGCAAGCTACCTTCCACCCAACATGTCTTGCTGGCAAAGCCTCCCTGGAACTGAAGATGGAGCTCAGTACATTGATGTGGCTCCTGGAGTTCTATAGATGCCCACTGGGGTGTTCCCTATAATAGATAAAACAAAAATAAAAGTCACTCTAGTTGTCATTAAGAGTATACAAATATTCTCATCATTATTATCATCAAGAAAAAGAAGTCCATGAGTTTCTTAGATTGTTATCCAGGCAAGCTACCTTCTACCCAACATGTCTTGCTGGCAAAACCTCCCTGGAACTGAAGATGGAGTTCACTACACTGATGCGGCTCCTGCAGTTCTATCGATACCCACTGGGGTGTTCCCTATGACAATAGTAACAAAAGAAAGTCATATCTTTGTAAGTGTAACAATGAAGGAAATCAGTATGATCATTTAAGACCTACTGCTAGTTAGAATCAGCTTTACCCCCAACGAGTGGGGTGTACTATAGCTGAAACTGAAATTGAAGGTGGAAAATAGTTAGTACACAGATGAGGCTCCTGTAGTATAGTATTAATGACTGCTTTGAGAGAAATAGTTGTTTTTATACGCTCAAGGGAAGGTTAGAATTGTGCTATTGCCCGAGGCATGCCGAGGGCAATAGCCCAATTGTAACCTTCCCGAGAGCGTATAAAAACAACTATTTCTCGAATATTAAAGCAGTCATTAATACTTTTATATGCCAAAAAAAAAACTAGTCAACTTATGACACCATCTTGGCCTTTATCTAGTTTGTCTGCACGTTTTTTTTTTTTTTACGAGTGTATGTTTGAGAGTAGACTAAAAAATATTTTTTTTTTTTGTTTTTTTTTTGTCGAAGATGGGATTCGATCTCTTGCGTACCAACGATGATATGACTAAAATCACAGCCTTAGACTGCTCGACCATCGCGCACTGATACCATACCTAGCCGTTTTCTCTGATCTATACATTAAAATGGATTGAAAACGGCTTCGCGTGCTGGATGCTTCGTGGCAGCTCCATTAAACGGGCCCTTCTTTTACTTTTGTAATGCATTTGCACGAACTTAGATCAAGCTCTATCGGCAGATGTTGTTTTTGGAAGTTTATTTTCGTCTTCATGTCAACAATACAAGATAAAATTGTCGGTAAGATCGATCGAGATTCAATTGTATTGAAATTACCAACCAATTCATCGCACACGTACGGTATCCTCGATCGCTCAGACCATTTTCTAACATGTGAACCTAAGGGTATTTCACCAAGACTGAACTATTTTCCCAGTAACCATGGTAACTGGGATTTTAGAACTATTTTTTTTAACTATTACATGGGTTTGGAATTTTACCAGGAATTTTACAGGAATAGTTAAAGTTTATGAATGCAATTTCGACCAATCAGATGGCTGGATTTCTTAAGTGAGGTATATAATGTGAGATATTGCCACTTTGGTGTTCCCTACAGTAGATGAAACAAGAAAAAAGTAATTATCATTCGATATCAAAAGTATAGCTACGAGGGAAATTGGTTACATTCAAAGGTCTACTGTGAGTTAGAATCTGCTTTGCCCAGATGAAGAGAGAGGGGATGGCTGAAAGTGAAACAGATGAGTACAGTATATTTATTGGCTAGGCTCCTGGAGATCAAGAGATATTCTTCACAATAAGCCAGTTCACAGATACAATCTGCGCATGGGCAGATGAAGGTCATTTGTACCAAAATGGTAAAACCCAGAGATGAATACTGGATATGCGCTCATGAAAGTTATGTAACATTATTCATTTATGCACCAACAGTACATTCTATGATACGCAGGTGGAAGTATTCTTTTCAAGAGGTCAAACAAAAGGTATTCATGAAGCACATCTAGGACTTTGGCAGTTATTATTCTAAGATGCTCAAAGTGGAACTTCTTCATGTGTAAAAGATCATGGATATTTGGGGTCATTTGTACCATGTGCTATCTGTAAACTCCCTTATAGTCAAGAAACTAAGGACTCTAAGAAAATGATATTACTTGCTATGAAAAGTATTCACAGACCTGAGGAAAATAAGTTGCATTAAAGATCTATTGTCAAGTTAGATTCATTTTTTTTCCTTGGGGGAAGGGGGGGGGGGGAGGGGCTTCTGAAACTGAAGATGGAGCTCAGTATATAGACACAGCTCCTGGAGAGCAAGTGATAACTATTAGGGTGCTCCTTATTGTAGCTGAAATTTGAAAGGAAGTCATATCAGTTTATATTTATTGACGAGGAGGGGTAGGGAGGGAGGAGGGGGAAGGGAGGAGGGGGAAGGGGGAAGTAGGAGGGGGAAGGGGAAGGAGGAGGGGAAGGAGGAGGGGAAGGAGGAGGGGAAGGAGGAGGGGAAGGAGGAGGGGAAGGGGGAAGGAGGAGGGGAAGGGGGAAGGAGGAGGGGGAGGGGGAAGGAGGAGGGGAAGGGGAAGGAGGAGGGTAAGGGGGAAGGAGGAGGGGGAGGGGGAAGGAGGAGGGGAAGGGGGAAGGAGGAGGGGGAGGGGGAAGTAGGAGGGGAAGGGGGAAGGAGGAGGGGAAGGGGGAAGGAGGAGGGGGAGGGGGAAGGAGGAGGGGGAGGGGGAAGGAGGAGGGGAAGGGGAAGGAGGAGGGGAAGGGGAAGCTAGGAAGGGAAAAACTGGAATGTGTAGCTCATTACACAGTCAAGGTCCGCAATTTCAAGAAGTATCCAATGGGGTCTGAGGTACCCTGTGATAACCAAAACAAAAAGTCAGGTCATTTACCATGAAATGGACCATTAAAAAGCTTCATGTTCAATTATAAATAGCACAGCACTGCAGAGAAAATCATGGTAGATGCTACATTTGTATTTTGTCAAATGAAAATTTTTATGAATGGATAACAAATCTCCTTATGATAGACTTTTTGGAAACAAACTGAACATCAAACCTGAAGCTCTAGACTACATGTACATGTAGCTACAATTATTTACTTTTGATCTTCTGAGGATTTAATAACATAATTGATTTCTATATAAAAACTGCAATAAAAAAATAAATTATACACAAATTATATAGTCATGAACACAAATATATGGCAATGGAGTACAACACCCTCTCTCCCCCAATCGTGAAATAAAAGCTTATAACCATAAATAACATGAGGGCATTCAGAACAAAAAAGAAAAGATGCTCACTGCTTCACTTGCATTATTTAATTAAATTATAAATAGGCCTAGATCTAGGCCTAATACAAAATCAAGAGTAGAGTCTAGTATAAACAGGAGAGTAATTATATACAAACACAAGAATGTTACATCAATTGAGAAAAATAAGATGCATTACGGATGAGGAAAAAAAATGTAACAAAAAAACCATGAACATAAGCTTACCTGATCAGAATTCCAGCATGTTTCCTCATTGTTGTCAAACAGAAATTTCTTTCCAAACTGTTTCACATCTCTATTCAGAACAGAGCTAACTCTGAAACGGAAAAGCAAAGAGAGTGGTACTGGTAGCTAGCTAATTTTAATACCAACAACTTGACATTTCTCAATTTAAACTAAAAAGAATCATGGAGGTGCCCACATGTTTCTACTTCTTTTTTTCTAGACATCTAGAATAATTAGAAATATAAAGTAACACCGATAGTTTACAATACATGTATTTCAACACACGGGACTGCAGAAGTGCAAAATGAATTGAACCTTCGCTTCCCGTTCCCATAAAATTCTGTTTCACAATCCATGCTTTCTTGAAAAATCCAAAAAGAGCAGAATATATCCTGCAAATCAAACAAAAGTGCTAATTTTCTCACCTCGTGCCTACCGCAGACTGTACGATGGAAGCTGCCATGTTGGACTTCAGCCGGATTACAACAGCATACTGCAAGCGATCGAGTATTCAGGCGCTAGCTAAGCCTAGGCAGCGCGGCCTCGGTCGACCGGTCCATCCATCCAGAGTCGGGTTGCGGGTACCTTCAATTGTAGATTGCCCCCCATTTATCGTAGTGTAATACATGGACCCATATGCACCCTCGTATAAAGTGAACGGCTATCATTTCCAATGGCCTATCAAAATACATGTCCAATGGCCTATCAAAATACATGTCCACTGCCATAACAGGTAATTGTAATTTGCAATTTGTATTTTGTAATTTGCAATTTGATGGTCAATTTTTTTTAAATACAAAGTTCAGGTTTGGCGTGGAACATCTCAACTCCTTTACCCTAGCTTCTCAAAAGAGCTATAGGTTCTCAATTACCAAGCAAGCAATATGGCAGATTTCTAACATAAAAATCACTGCTAAGATTGAAAATTCAAATTGTTCATTACAATTTGGTTTCATCCACCTTTACAACAATAAAAGATTTAAATGAAGTGCACAAATATGTTTACAACATGTTTTCCATGAGGCAGTGACAATTAGTGGGTATATGCCTCTACATATTTTAAAGAAATCATTAACAGTATTATTGCTGTTATTATTTTGACAGAGAATGGTTTAATGATATTGTATAGTCAAAACACATAAATCAACTAGGCATACAAATACCTAGAGAGACAGCGGGAGAGCAAAAGAGAGATAGAGAGAGAGAGAGAGAGATAGAGAGAGAGAGAGAGAGAGGGGGAGGGGAGGGGAGGGGAAGGGAGAGGGAAGGGGTGGCTGATAGGAATGTACGAGTGTTTACAGAGAAATGAGAGGTTCTGTTTGAATAATACACTGCTTGACTAGTCTAAAAGCATTAATACAAACGATGCTAAACAAATGTTTAAGTTCATTTTATGCAATCTTCATTTTATTCAATAACTTTTAGCAGTTTGTTTCAGATATAGAATTTCACACATTGCAAGTGGCATATCACAACATGCTTAGATTTACATGTTTGTTGCAATTATAATCACAATATAATTTACAAAATGCTGAGAAAATACTTTGTACACACAGATGGCAATAATGCCTCGATATCACATATATATATATATATATATATATGTATATATGTTTCTTCGTACCGTACATGTCCAAACATCATGAACAAAAGAGATAAATACTATAAGGAGCACATATACCACATCTCGAACGCTTTCAGTTTGCTGCACTAAAATACATGAATAAATTAGATTAAAAAAACTAGGAATTAATTCTTTTCCCTCCGTAGGTATGAACTTAACAAGATATGAACTTCTAAATAGTATTTGGTTATACTGAGTGGTAGAGGAACAAATTGTCACCACAGTGGAATAAAGGAATAAATACCACAAAGGCAATTTACTTATCCCTCTTTTTTGTTGGAAAAGATGTCATCTTTACATGGTCAACAAAATTGGAATTTTCTAGAGAGCACACATGTGGTTCACAAGATTTTTCTTCTGAAAAAAAAATTCTGTGACCGAAGTGATGGAGAAAATTTACTCTGAAGGTTTACTGCTTTTTTCGGACCATGATAAAAATACAAGTTCCATTTCACGATTTAATAATGCAATACCTCTTTTCATTATAGAGCTGCACATAACAGTGGCTTTATATAATGGTATATCAGCTCATTCAGCTGCAAAATATCAATTTTTTAACAAAAATCTATCAAGATGAAAAGATGGTGAGAAAAACAAATGGCCAAGAAGTTTGAATTAATTCAAGAATATAGTTTCTTTTCACTAATGTCTAACAATCTAAACATCTTTGTTGAAATAAATATTTCACATTGATGACTGTTTAGAATGCCCAGGCATATCCCATGTGCTTCCATCACAGAAGCACAAAACATTCCATATCATTGCATTATCTTTATAAAAAGAAGATTTAATTTCATATACTTCATGTGCTTTAGTGTTATATGACTTATCTTCAAGCAAGTTGGTTAATTCAACTATAATATATTAATCTTCGTCATAAGAATATAATAACATGTACTCTTGTAAATGAAATGTAACCCTGTCTGTCATGAAAGATTTTACTTGTTTATCACCATAAGCTTAAACCACATGCTACAGAATCTTCACCTAAAATAACCAATATTTCATAAACCGATTGGGTTTATAAATTTACAGAATCAAAATCGACTTAATTTGCTTCCAAACACAGAGGCACCAATACAATGGTGTGTATTAAACATATAAATAAAATGAAAAAAATGAAAGAGAGAAAGCTCATTAACAGATATGCCTTTTGAAAAACCTTGCCGGTTTTCTACATAGACCGTGGACCCCCATGGTTACCTTTTTATACAAGACATATGCCTTCTAAATAGAGTTTGTGGACATACAGTGACAGGATGGAGGAATGGCAACTTCACAAATATACAACAAATCACACACTATACATTACAAGCACATATACTTTTTCTCAATTGTCACAAATTTTTACTTGGACTAGGTAGACTACAGTTTTTTTTAAATATCTATCTTTCCTTTAGCTAACTCTTCCTATTTTTACTCAAAGTACAAAGGGGGTTTCTAAATGCATTGGAAACTCCCAACACTCACTTTAAACACTTATGGCTATGCCACAAGATTAATTTGCTTACTACGCTGTTTGGAAAATTATTCCTACTCTTCACTCTATCACATACAATTTCCGTAGTTTTTGCACACTTCAAAAAATTATGTTTAAAATTCTGGTAATTAACAATGAACAGTCTTACAATACACTGGATTCAAACAAAAAAAAATCCTTGCTTTTGAAATCCAAAAGGGAAATATCCAAACCATGTAATGTTACCAAATATACTTAAGAAAAAAAGACTTTCAGACATAGAAAAAATATATGTTATGGTTGTCGATGTATTAAAGAGACTTTGCTAATGATTTTAATAATTATAATAATAATAATAATAATTTATGCTCAGCAACAAATAGCTTCATAGCACAGAAACGCTCATTTATTGAAGTATTTCATCATGTATTTGTTTTCATCATATTTTAAAGCATAAACACAATATATAAATATTTCAGAATAAATTGAAGGAGCAACGGTGCCATTTTCTAACATAATACAAGCAGCCGACAACATATTGTGAACAATTTGCAATTTGAATACAGTCAGAGTGTAAAACACTAGATATAGACATATCGGTCGAGCTAACTGCAACACCGATGGATACCTAGCTTAAATGTCTTCTAAAAAACTCCAGGCAATTATGCAGTCAAATTGGAATGATTTAATTACATCTATTGGTTCTGTGTTCAGTAGAATGAAATAAATAATTGTGTTAATAAAAGAAAAGTGTAAGAAAAAGGGGGAGTGGGGTATGTTCTATTATTATGACAACAGTAACCTCAGAAAAGATAGTAAAATGTTATATGAATCCAGATCATTACCAAACAGAAGGTAACTTTGCCTTGGGCAGGGCATAGGAGCATTGGCAGAGGGGAAATCTAAACTACTTTTTGCAAGAAGTCACATAATATATCCACTCATCATTAATCTAACTGGAATATTCCCTTATATTATAATGATGTGAAACGCTATTCCCACAAATGCACTTTTAGATGGTGCTGTCTTGTATTACCCTACATATTCCATATGCTTGTATCTAAAAATACCCAAATGCCCCATTCGTTAAAGATTACCAGGACTTATACCCTTCTGTAAAGCAGTAACATTTTTTTTCTTTCTTTTTTTAAAAGACAAAACTGCATGACTCCTCTACTTGCTCATCACAGTTATTGTGCAATCGTCCACTTTTCTGTGCATTGCTATAATACAAGAATGGTGACCAACATTTCTCTTTGGGGGGGGGGGGTTTTAGCTGCAAAGTTGTCATGATGCATTAGCTGTGCATGTCCCTGGCGCTGATGATGATTCTTTGAGCGCTGAGAAGTCTACCGACTTACTTCTCCTGTGTGTAGCAACCTCATCGATGGATGGAAGAGGACTGGCAATGTTCAGGGCAGATCTAAAAGAAGAAAAAATGAGAGAGAACATCCAAATAAGTCTTACACAATATAATACTTATGTGAACACCATCAATATTTCAATAAACAATGAACTTTTAAAAACTGCCAGAAAGCATGTTGCAAGTAAAATTAAAAGTGGTTACATTTTTCTTAAATCTATCTGAATAATGATTGAAAAACATTGAGGTTAAAAAGAACTAACATAAATTGTCAACCAAATGACTTTAGGTCATGATAAGTCTAGTTAAATGAAGAATTATTTTGTTGCATAATCAGTAAAAAGTACAGAGAGCTTCCACGATTGATTTGTGTATTCCCTTCTATGTCTAGGTGTCTCAAAAATTTCCAGTGATAATCCATAATATAATTCTTTCACTTTTTTATATTGATGTAAAGCACTGTGAAACAACAGTCATGTTGTATGTAAATATAATCATTACATTGTAATGTAAAAGTTGTCACATAATTCAACATGTTTTGCTACAAAACTAATCATCATTACAAGTCTAATCAAAGCAAACCCAAACTGCAATCCCACCTGTTATGTTTCATGTGGCTTTTGACAAGGTGACCAGCTGCAAGAGCTGACATGAGTGAGAGTTCACCGGCCATGACTGTAGCGCAGACGATCCTAGCCAGCTGAGAGGCATTCAGTCCCGAACCATGGATGTTGGACCCTTTCACATCCATCATCTGTAAGAATGAAGAAAAACACACATTGAAGATTACGGTGATCCAACATTATTTATTTATTTTATTTATTTATTCATTAGTCTTTTTTTAGTAGGGTGGCTCCATCAGTAGTTAAATACTGTTTTCCGTGGAGGCCCTACCACATAAATACAAAATTTACAAACATATTGATGTAAACAATCCAAATCGAAACAAAATGAATTCAGTTGCAACATTTTCGAACAAAAGAAAAGAAACGTTGGTGACCATTGCTTCAGACTTTATTGGGCATACGGTATACCAGTTGAGATACAGGTTGAGGATTAAAGTTGTGTTTGGGTTTAATGTTAGGGTTAGGGTTGCGGCTAGATTAAGTGTTTGGTCTGTGGATGAAGTTAAGGAATTTGATTGGTCAATGAAATTGACTATCAACCGAAAATTAAAAATTAGATTGATAGATTATGAACAAGAATGGAAGAAATCTTCTGTACATGATTGCTGAAGTGTTTTAAAGTGACTCAGTAACATTGCCTCAGATTCTGAAACAAAATTCTGGCTTTAGCTCATGCTGCAATCATAATTATAAACCTTTAGGTCAGTCAGGAATCCCTTGTCGATCGCCTGTTTGATTATCAAGATATTCGTGATTGGAAATCGAAATTCCATTTTTCGTTTTCATAACAGTTTTTAAAACACAACAGTCTATTGGGGAAAATGAGTACGGTATTGTAAAACCGGTCACTCAACATGTTAAACTTTTTTGAGGCACTTCATGATCATTTTGAAGCGCAATTTTTTAAAGGGCTTCAATATTACACCATATCACAGACACTGATAACACGTAGGGCCATGCATCTCAGATTTAACAATGCCTTTAAGATCATGCTCCCCAAACAAGTTGTGAAATCAGAGTGAAAATCAATGTACATGTATGCGGTACATCATCAGGTACACACTGCATCTGTCTCACCTGAAGGCAAGCTGACTGAGGGGGTAAGACGGTACCTCCTCCTACCGTTCCTAGCTCAATGGATGGCATGGTACAGCTCAGGTACAGATCTTCACCTTTAGGTCCTCTGGTCTCCATCAGGGTCATGCAGTTAGAACTGGCAATGTTCTGGGCTGCATCCTGCACAACACAACAAAATGGAGGCACTGATTATAGAAAATATCTTTCATGAATAATGTCTGCTTAGAGCCAGAAAAGCATTAAAAATATGTGAGTAAATCAGAAAATTCTTCCTTTGTTTTTCTCTTCTCAATAGAGTGTTTTTCTGAACTTCTCAATAGCTTATTCATGGCACTGGGACTTATTTATTGACTATCTCTGCAGAGAAATATGTGTGTCCTTGGCAAATTCAAGATTTAGGTAAGCAACAGAAACAGTTGCTTGTTATAGCAGAACCCGTGATATGAATTACATGTTTTAATCATGATATTGGCAAAGAGATATATAAAAAAAAAATGAAGCCAAAATCTACTTGTTGGTATTAGTGAGGGTTTTTTTTTTTTTTTTTTTTTTACTTACAGTTGTTTAACTGTAACTTATCAAAATCTCAAGCCATACTGTAGAATTTTTTCATTAAATGAACGAAAATATGTCACTGTTGTTACTAAACATATCATTTTTTTAAACCAGTTATTATAGTTACCTGTCCAGTTGCAATGTAGATGGCGGTGACGATATTAGCTGCATGTGCATTGAAGCCTCCTATACTGCCAGCCATGGCTGAGCCTACGAGGTTCTTGTGGATGTTGAGGTCCACTAAAGCTGATGCACTGGTCTTCAAAACCTGACAGGGGATGAACAAAATGTAATACCAAGCGTAAACATAAAATAAAGAGATTTTCATTTGAACATCTAGTAGTAAATAATCACTTTGATCTTTGCGTAACTTTAGTTTATCTGGATAAAGCAAATTGCAAGTCTCATACCCCCCCCCCCCCTCCCCCCACATGACCCTCTCCTTGTTCAGGAGGTGGATATATCAAGAAGTGAACAATTCATTTTGTTCAGGGCTCCCACATTATAACATAAGTTTGAGAAACAAATTTCATAATTTTCTGTGACTTTCAATAACCCATTTTGCCTTTTTCCATATGACCTGATAAATACCATTTTGTAATGGATTGAGGCATTAAAATTCTACACCCACTGTCAGTTCAAACACACACAACTTACACCCATGATCAATTTCCATGACTTAACACGACTTTGGGCGATTTTTTTATCAACGTCTACACTTTTCCATGACTTTCCAGAATCATTTACTTTCCCATAACTCTCAAGGTTTTTCCATGACCCTGGGAACTCATCCGATGACAAATGACTGACGTTACAATAGACCAGTTAACGGTTAGCACATTATAATAATAATAATAATACTCAGTTTTTATATAGCGCTTATTAGAATCATTACTGCAATGACCCCGAACATCCACAGATCTTCAAAACATGTAGAGTTCCCACTTTGTACATTTTGAAATAATCAGTCCTACAGCGATGGAGGTGCTATATAAATTACCTTTGTTTCCCAATTTTCAAAGAATACTTCCACCTGTGTATCATGGAGTGCACTGCTTGTGCATGAATGAATAATGATTACATAACTTTCATGAGCACGTATCCAGTATTTCGTCTCCGTGTATTTCAAAATTTGCTCTGCAATGACCTTCATCTGCTCATGCTCAGACTGCAACCGTGAACTGGCTTATTGAATCAATAAGTTCGACTAGTCTCACAGTATCTTACCTGCTGGACAATGTGTGCTGGGACAGTGGCTTCACAGACGACTGACTTTCCTCTTCCTTCGATCCAGTTAATCGCTGCTACCTTCTTGTCTGTGCAGTAGTTTCCACTCAAGCTCATGATTTCTATGTTGGGGAACATGGTCTGCAGAGCATGGAGTGCTTGCTCTGTGCCCTGTAAAATAGGACAAAGGTTTGTAGAGGAATTCATGGTATCAGTTTTGAATGGCCATCCCAAAAGTAGACTGCATGCAGTTTAATAGAAAAGTCACTCGGGAATGGGATTCTGCAGGTAAGGCACCTCATTCAGAACTATTACAGATACAACTCAATATCTAACATGCATGGCAATATCAACTCACAACTTGACTTCTATAAAACCATAACTTTCACACCAATCGTTCACAAATTTTGCGAGTGGTTCAGGTTTGCTTCAGTTTCATAACCCTATATAATAGAATCCTAAATGACACAACACTTAATTGTTGCGATTTGTAAAAGATTCTTGGCATGAAAATTGCTGTCATTTATGACTTGCGAAAGCTTTGTGTTGTAAACATCACTGGTCTTACGGGACTTTCTCCCCAAAGGCGTATCAGAATCATGGTTATACTGCAAATGGTTACAAATTAATTCTCATTGTTGAAGAAATTGCCTTGATTCAATACAAGGACAATTTGACATCACATGGTCTATACTCCCTCATCCAGACAACCAGACTAGTGAGAATACATACCTTGGATATCATGTTCATGCCCATAGCATCCCCAGTCAGTGCTTTAAACCTGAGGAACATGTAGCGACCAGCCAGCGCTGTCTGGATACTCTTCAGCTTGGCGAAGCGGCTCGTCGACTCAAACCTTTCCTTGATCGCTGCAAAGTTTTCTGGGACCTCCAACCATTGTTTGATAGCTCTATTAAATTGGAAAAACAAAATACATTTGAATAACAATGCTTGTTTCAGTTAGGTAATTACAAAAATATCTTCAAGAATGTTTTGTTTTGCAGACATATGTGCCATGTAAAGAAAATTAGCAAAAAGACACTTCCCATAATTGTAAATGATAGTCTGTTTTGCAGAAAGAAACTTTGGTGAATTGCACATATTCAGTGTAGGTTATTTTGCAGCATAAATAAGGTTTCTAATTTGCAGTACAGGACAAGGATTGAACTCAACTATATCTAGAAAAAAGGCTCTTCAATCTGTACTGCATTTAAAGCCCTACTGTACTACTTGTAGCTACTTGCTCCCTCTATACAGCAAACAATGCCTAAGCGGTGACCATTGGTCCCCCAGGATCCTCTTTTTCTTATGTCAATTGAGAGCCGAGTCAATGAGATAGCCACATGTCAGTGACCACACTGGGTGGTCTAATCCCTCCCGGCCAAACTAGTACAGACAGGCTTTAACTTCCTCTTCCATCAGTATGTTTTAATTTCCATCTGGCAAAATACTTCATACAATGGCTACAATGGTTTCCTTACCCTGCCTCCTGTGCACTTGGTAATCTGACCAATGGTCCTCTAGTCATGCCATCACCGATCAGGACACTGTGAATACCACCAGCAGACTGTATGGACCAACCAAAGGAAAACAGGTAGAAGATATGAATGTGGTCTCTGACTGCAGATGCTAACATCAGTGAAGCTTTCTTCATTTCCACTATTAGCAGTAAAATAAAATCTAACAACATTAGCCTAAAAACAGGTAAGAAGACATGAATGTGATCTCTGACTGCAGATGCTAACATCACTGAAGTTTACTACCCCATACCAAACTTCATTTCCACTATTAGCAGTAAAATAAATCCATCAACATTAGGCTTATCTTCATATCAAATTCAGTAATTCCTTTGACCATTCTGTTAAATACTGTTTAATATAAAATTACTATGTTCTTGAAGTATGAGATGTTGCAATTTATAATATGACCCTGTCATCTCCTAATCATTGGGAATCCAATCTAGCAACATTCCATCAGTGAATTATTGTTATAAATTTCCAACTCTGACGGTGACCAAAACACATAAAAATGTATTTCTTATTGACAGTCATTAACAAGTCCCCAATACAACAAACGATTCAAGTACAGGAATGTCCATTATGAGGAACTGGACACAAAAACAGAAATACTTCCATTTTTACAGTTTGCAAAATTTACGCAAATAAAAAAGGCGAGTTAGGGGTTCTTAGCATGTTTCATCTATCACTCAACACTAAATACAGTGAACCTGTATACAGAGACCACTTGAGGAGATAGGAAACGTGGTCGTTATGGGCCGATGGTCTTTTGGTACAGAGTCGTTTTGTACACGTTTCAATGGAAACACTGTTAACGGAAAACAGAAAATGTGGTCTTTACAGAGAGGTGGTCTTTCTAAACAGGTGGTCACTAAAGCAGGTTTCACTGTACAAACGTCCTGTGTATGACCCATCAGTAATGGACTACTCACTCTAAGAGCTCTGCATCCTCTGTTTGTACTTGCCACCAAGCATCCTTCCGTGGTTGCCATGGGAACCTGAAACTCTTGTCCGTCCAGGAGGAGGGGTCCAGCCACGCCCACTGGTACAGGCATGTAACCGATCACATTCTCACAGCATGCTCCGGATACCTATAGACAAAGAAACAAAAAAGCAAAACATGAAAATAAAACATGAATCAAATTCTGTAGGGTAGAATTCTTCAATGGTGTACATGACAATTGACTTGATTTTTCAACTTTTAGATCCAGTTGTACAAAAGCTATTATGTCCATTAAATATGCACTCTTGAATAAAATTCCTTAAGAATTATAATATCAAATTACATTTAGCTACAGATACACAAGAGATCAAAGACAAACAAAATAATATCCACTAAATCTTTAAAAAAGAAAAAATGTACATACATGAATTAAATCGATTGATATAGAAATAAATAGAAATATAGATGTATATGATATATCAAGAGTTGGTATTGCAATTTGGCAACATACAATATTTAGAAGCAGAAAAATACACAGGAAGAGGCATGGAAACAACAAAAAATATAAGAGATGGATAAATTGAAGAAAGTTGGAGGGAACTTACAAATGAATAGTCATAGCTTGCGTAGGGTAGTTTCTCCAGTGCATCAGTAATTGGAAGAAGCTTGGAGATGATCTGCCTCCTGACCGCCACGCCCCTCTCAGGGTTATCCAGGATATTCTCCAGCTTGTATGCAGGAATGTGTTTAGCACCGACCAAGAGCTGAACCTCATCATCGGTCAGGGCATTTGGTCCTTTCTGTAAGACGGAAGGAAATGTTGAATTTTGAATTTTGAATTTTGAATTTTGAATTTGCCTGCATGTGTACGCAGAAGGACATTAGCAAGGTAAATCCTCTTACAAAGGATGTCAGTTAGAATTGAGCAGAGGGCCTGAAAATCACCTAGAATGAGCTATTTTGTACCCAAAAAAGCCTGAACTATGGTCTGAGAATAACTTGCCAGGGCCTGAATTCAGGCTATTTCCTGAAAACTGGCATCCCTGTAATACACATAAAGATGGTTTGTCCCTATCGCAGACCTAAAAACCTGAAGTTCCATGAACCCAGTTGTATATTAAAAACAAGAGGGATGGTGGTAGTTCAGGTATGGTCATCTAGTCTAAATCCTGCATTCAAGACTAAAGCTATAAGATATTGGCCTTCACTTCATCATCATCATCATCATCTAGTGCTGTCCCTTCGGAAGGGGTTGGCGGCTATGCACCTCCATCGCTCTCTGTCATGTACCCTTGCTCTAACCTCTCTGTAGTTAGATCAGTCCATTTCTCAACATCATCAAACCAAGTGAATTGCTGTCTACCCCTTCCTCGTTTACCCTCTACCATTCCTTCCAGCAAGATCTTTTCCAATCCTCCTCCTCACATCACGTGACCAACATACACTAGTTTTCTCTTTCTCTTTTCACAAAACTTGTCATCAGCGATAAATTACAATTTGTGTTATAAGCTACTGAAATCCTTGCTTCTGATTGGTTATCAGCAGATTTGTCACTGATTTTTGTTATTTGTCATTGAAAAAAGGCTTTGTGAAACGCCCCCACTTCTCTCTCTTTGTTTGCTCTGTTCACTTTACACAAGCTAAAATGTAATTATGACACTCACCCCAACATTAAGGATCTCCAGTAGTTCTGGCATGGGTCTGGGAGCCTTAAGTTCCTTCTCTAGGACCCACTCCACTTCTTCCTCCTTGATAACCTCCTCCTCCTCATCTTCAGAACCACTTCCTGATGAACCAATAGTGAATCTGCAAACCAAACACAAATAATTTGAAATTTAAATCAATTATTGATTGTTGTCATAAGCAGGGCTCAATACTACTAGAGATGTAGAGGTGTCGTGGTCACCGGACTGTGGATCATAAAGTCTGCAGCACTACTATCCTTTGGCAAGACATTAATCTACATTTGCCACACTCGACCCAGGTGAGGTACATGGGTGCCTGGCAGGAATTAAATTTTTTGAAATGCTAGAGCGCCATAATGGCAGCCAGAGACGTTATAATGTGATATGCGCTATACAAGAAACAAATTTTATGAATGTTATTACTTGTGTTTTCATATAGAGACCAAAGTTGAAGTTTTTAAGATCTTCATACTTGAACCCAAAATAACAATTTAGAAATTTTGGTCGCCCAGACCAAGGTTTTTGGGTATCCAAGTGTCTGAGGTACCTGCTAGTGTGTAACGGAGGTTACTTCTATTTCTGTTTTGTCCATTGCCAGATGGTCAAGCAGGCCGGTAAGCTAGGTCCCTCAAATGAGGCAAACGATTTCTTGAAGCTGATAGATTGTATACTTATTTACAGTTTAATCCATGAGGAAAGCGATAATCTTGATGTATTTTAATGAGAGCGGAATTAAAGCGTTCCTTCTTCGAGATGGCGTCAATCTTTACTGTAAGGATCCTAATTGTAATGTCTAGCATTAGCATACACATGAACATCTCAACTAAATTTTCAAATTTATTTTTCACAATCTGCATCATGACATAACATGTATGATACAAAGTCAATGGTCAAAAGATCAAAATCACACTCCAATACGTATCTTTCCCTCAAGAGGGCAGCAGTCTAAATTATATCATCTGTTGAGAGTCTGAAAGGGGTCTTTCTGAAACTCCTATACTTCACATAAAGTTAATGCCCTTCTGGCTCTCAACAGATGATACATTTGAAACCCAATCACTAAAGCCCTTTTGCTACTTACCTGGCAGGTTTAACAGAGTGCGATGATACAGGGGATGACGAACGGCTATGACGTGGCGAGGCGGTCACCGGGTCGGTCTGGCAGGCCTGGGTGCGAGAGGTCATTGATTCAATGACCCTCACATCGCTGGTTGAGGGAGAGGAGGAGAGTGTGCCAATAGTCTCAACTTCAGATGCATCTGCAGATTGAAGAAGAAAAAAAGTTAATGTATATTCTCACAAACGCTCTAATGATGCTAATTTAAATGAGTATGACCGATGATTCATTTTCTTGTTTCTTTCATAATGCGTATTGCAAGAACTCTGTAATATCAATAGCAAGTTACACTGATTTTTATAAGCTATGGAAATCATGGCATCTGATTGGTTGACAGGTGATTTTTCATAGAATTTTTTTTTTTTTATTGATAAGTTTTATGAAACAGGGCCCCGGTCCCATGTCAAATCACAGATATGTAACTAGCCCTTCATCGGACAGAAACCAACCTTCGTGATCGGATCCAGGGTTGACGACCTCATGACCTTCCATGATGCTGACCCGCTTCTCTGGGTAGATGGCCAAGTCAGAGAAGAAGATGTAGTGGCTTGCTAGGACAGTTGCTAGGATAGCAGTGAGGATGTAATCCAGGGTGGGAGGCCATAGTCTATATCATGAAAAGAAAAAGAGAGGGAGCCTATAAGCCATATCACAATAATATCGTAAAATTAAGTGATAATTTATTGTCTGTCAGAAGCTCATCACCTCAGCTGTATAGGCGAGCCAATCGGGTCTACATGATATGTCGAAAATGAGGTTTCAATTTGGTTTCGTGCAATACTGAAAGGGAAAATATTTATTATTCATTTAACATTTGTATTCAATGTTTAATCAGCTTTCCGTTGATATACAGTTTGTACTTTCATCGCATAGAGTCTTTAACTCCTTTCTGTCACTCATACAAGTGGTATTGATGATCCTACCTTGTCGCGTAGAACTCCCATAGAGGCATGGTAGGATCAATCTTCTTGTCTGTGAGTAGGTTTCCATCGTAGAGCATATCTCGACTCATCAGTTCCGTGTCGTTACTAGCAAGCCAGTAGCTGTGAGCGTGAACTAGTACCAGTCCAGTGGCCTAAGAAGGGGCAAAAGATTCATACTTAAGTAAAAACCTGTACTAGGAATAAAATATTGCTTCTACACTTGTAATTTTGGAGAAAAGAAATGATTGCAGTCATGGAGAAGTACACACTACAATAAGAGTGGACCCCTTTAAAAAGAATTTTTAATCACATTTTTTCTCCTTCTAAACAAAGATACAGGTTGTTAGTCTATCTAGGCCTAATAAATACCATGTGTATATTTTCATGATAATATAAAACTTTAAAATGTAACAACTTTTGGCAAGATCAGGAACACCAACATTACTTGGCCGATATGTCCAGTAGATTCAAGCATGCACTTGTTGCAGTCTTGAATGATATTTCCTGGGAGGTGAATGATCAAAACAGCTGCCTTTTGTAACTTTCTTTTGCCCCTTTTCTTCTCTATTCAAATCTATTTTGAAATAGTAAGCACATTTTCTCTCCGACAAGTTGGTCTGTGAAAAAACGCAATGGTGGGAGTTTCATAATAATATGAAACTAGAAGACCACATAATCTACAATCTGGTCATTTCTAGAAAACCAAAGTCCCCTGACAGTTGCCTACAATTTTGTAATTTTATTATGATATGAAACTTGAACAGGCCAGAGAGTCTACAATCTGGCGAATTCAGGAAAACCAAAGACCCTTGGAGGATGCTTAGAAAGTTTGTATTTTTATCATAACACAAACAAACTTTACACTTTAACAAATTTCGGGAAAACCATAAACCACTAGAGGATACAAACAAAGTACGGAGTTTCATAATATAAACTAGAAAGCATCACAAAATCTACGATCTTGCAATTTAAGGACAACCTAATCCATTCAAGGACATCTTCCGAGACAGGTTTCCCGTGGGGTCATGAACCACCAACCAACCAACCACTGAAACCAGGGAAAAAATTAATTAAAATATTTCGGGGGATACTTTTCAAATTTGCTAGCATGAAAATAACACGCTTTAGTTAGTTTTGCATGGAACAAATTTTGGGGGGCTCTTTTTTTTACTTTCGGGGGCTCTTTTGGGCATTTCGGGGGCTAATTCAACCCGAGCCCCCATGTATTTTTTCCCTGACTGTAACTTACCATGATCATCTTGACCCGCTGGACCACAGGATTGGGTTTCCTGTCCTCTTCTTCCTCCAGTACCTCGGCAAAGCGTCCAAGATGCCACACGGGTCGGCCATACTTGTTGCTGTTTGACAGCTGGGGGAGGGAATAGGAAGGAAGACATCAACCACCATGACTCACAACAAACATCCTTCATTAGAATGAACTCTTTAAAGGGATTGTTTAACTTTGTCTCAGATTCTGAAACAAATCCTGGATTTAGCTCATGCTGTAATGAAAATTATAAACCTTTAAGTCAGTCAGGAACCCATGTCTTTTACAAACCAATCGCCTGTCTGATTATCAAGATATTTAGGATTGGAAATCAAAATCAAATTTTTGTTTTTTTTCTTAACGATTTTTATAACACTGCAGTCTATTGTGGAAAATGAGTATGGTAAAACTGGTCACTCGAAGATTTTTACTTTTTTGAGGCACTTCATGATCATTTTGAAGCGCAATTTTTCTAGGGCTTCAATATTTCACCATATCACAGACACTGATAACATGTAGGGCCGTGCATCTCAGATTTAACATTGTTAAACGGTGCCTTTAAGGTCACTGTAGGACTACAGTGCCAAATAATGGGTGTATACCACTGATCTCAAAAGACAAAATGTGGTGTGACATCATTTGAGGGTCTTTACTGAAGTAGTTTCTTTCATATGAGCATATTAAAATGCTTACTAGCAATTTTCTTTACCTTAGAAACCAAATATTTTGATCTGATCAAATAAATAATATTATTCATTCAGCATTTCAAAGGTAGAATACAATGAGGACACAAGAGAAAGAATAAGCAATTCAGTCTCCCCTGTTGTGCCTCAATCATCAAACTGCACTTTGTACTCAATTCCTAACAATGTTTGACCGTCTTTCAGCAACTCCTTAAACATGGATATGAAAATGTTCAACATCATGCCTTTAAGCTTCATATATCCCTGCATTGATGTGATGCAACTGCAATGTTATTACTCAATTTCATCTTCAACACATGTTTCTTATCAAGAAAAGTGTTTAAATACAATAAAACAAGAATGCAAGTGAAAGGATATTATTACTTCCAGAAAACAAAATATATCGGTACATTCTTAAAGATATTTCAAGAGATTGTGACTTCTTTGCAATGAAACCTGTCAAGTTGCCAAGTCTTTTGATGAAGTGGATTCTGAAACCACAACCAACCCTGATGATTCAACATGCTTCCTTACTTACCTCAAGAACGAGAGAGAGACAAGCTGGGAAGAAGGTCATGAAAACAAAATAGTTGGCGATGAGGGAGAGGATGCCGAAGCAGCAGAAAACTTCCATCTTCCGGATGCCTGAAATAGAAAAACATGATAAAGAATATCTTAATAAGTCTTCAAAAGGCTTCAGCAATGCTGATAATAATTTTCATCTGAATTATTTATTTCTACTATAATGACTATTTCATTTAAGGACATTAAAAAAAACATACATGATTTGAATATTTCTGTTTATCTTTTACAAACTTAAATGTGATATTGACTGTATCTTTCCAAATGTGTAAGTGTCAATCATTTCTTTCAATGTATGGTAATTGCGTTTAAACATTATAGAAAGGGATCGTTGTACAAGTTCCCTAAAAGACATCTTGGCAAAACTCTTACCAGACCATTCTGAATGTTCAATGATTGTTCGATTTCCCCTCAATTAATGCCAGGAAGACACCGGCAAACACTTACCTGACATGGTTCCGATGCTGATGACCAAGGTGGTCACTACAGTGTCCAGTGTGATGGTGGGTCCAAGAATGGCCATACCGCGGGCGATGTTGTCCACCACCTCATTCTGAGTGGTGCTACTCAGGGCAAACTTGGTGAGAGCGCTGGCCTTGGTCAGGTCGATGAGGAGCAAGAAGAATGGGAGAGCCTCACTGGAAGGTGATACAACAGATATTAGTTAATTAATTACTTACTTAATTAATTAATACAACAGATATCACAGAGATGTTAACTGATATGAAAGCACAGTATGTACTATTTTGGGAAAGAGGCATTTAAAAAGCGACTCTGATAAGAAGGGCACGATTAGTTTCTTCTCTTCTTCTTAAAGGGATCCGGTAACTTTGTCTCAGATTCTGAAATAAAATTCTGGATTTAGCTCATGATGCAATGATAATTATAAACCTTTAGGTCAGTCAGGAACCCCATGACTTTTACAAGCCGATCGCCTGTCCGATTATCAAGATATTTATGATTGGAATTACAAATTTTGAAAACCGTTCGCCTGACGGTTTTCATAACACTACAGTCTACCGGGGAAAACGAGTATGGTATAACCGGTCACTCAAAGATTTTTACTTTTTTGAGGCACTTCTTGATCATTTTGAAGCGCGATTTTTTTAGGGCTTCAACGTTACACCATATCACAGACACTGATAACATATAGGACCGTGTATATCAGATTTAACATTGTTAAACAATCCCTTTAACCAAATTACTATAAATAATTTCATTACCATAGGATAATGGATTAATACAGGAACCAACTGATTACTCTAAACAATAAGTGAGCATCCAGGTAAAATCAACCCGAAATACCAATCAGATAACTTCATGATTCAAAATTTTGTATGGATGTATTTTAAACATAATGTTACCATTGCATTAGTCGACCAGGGTGGTCACTTTGAATATTAGCAACCCCAAACAGGCTAAGGAATCAAAATTTAGTAATTGCTCATCAGCTCAAGTTTTGAATCAGTACCATAAGTATGAGAAAGACATCTGAAGATAATTTTAGTGACAAGTTCATTTCATTACACATCAAAGGGAGTTTAAACCACAACTAAAAAAAAATTGGTTAAGGCTTTCAACTACAGGAGAGTATATACTAGCTTGAAATTTGACTACTGGTACTTTCTATGATTAATAATGTGGGATTATAGGCAAATACAGCATTTCAAAGAACTGAATTATTTATCACGGCACGTCACTCCTGACAATGATATCACCGATTATTACACTTTGTATAACAGATAGACTATGACGTAAGGTACACATAACTTTGCAAACGTCGTGAATAACAAGCGCTCTATTACGTATGATACACACCCATTTGTGTGCCGAGCGAGTTCATGTGGATGGTAAAATGTATATTTGTTCAAACCGTTCCCTTCCCCTCTGATTCAACCAGGACTTCGCACCTTGGTCAATACTGATATGGGCTCATTAGTTGAAGGTCAGAAAAGACAAGTCTGGGAACCACTAAACAAAGGGCCAGCTGATACCTAGTCTCCAGGCACACTCTAAGAGCCTTGAGCAGAGCCTAGCTCTGTCAGGCTCTAGCTGTGTCAGTCTCAGCTTAAAGGTAAAGACCAGTATTGGAAACGCCCCAATTTCAAAAAATGAAATGGAAGCTCCTATTACCAATCATGTGAAAGAATATGTTTTGACTAATACATGATGATAAAAAATTTTGCCGGGCAACCGCCTACTAATTGATATATTTGGTAAATTATTATATCTATTTGGACCTGATAGATATCACGCACGTGTCGCATAGTCCCATATACATCTTTCTGTGTACAGTGATTGTAACTTTACCAAGAATGGGCCAAATTTCTTATCATTTTGGTGATTCCAGACTTGCAGTACACACCAATGCTTATATGCTAGATAGTCAACTTTTTCTGATTGATTCCACAACGTTTCTTTCACAATGCAATCGCATGACTAGAACTGGTCTTTATCTTTAAGACATTATTGTTGCTATTGTTTTCTTTATTCAGGTGCACTTATCATGTCTATTTGTAAGCTCAGCAATAAGTCATAAGGTTTAAATATGGAGGACAATTCAGACAAAGAATACATGAATGAGATTTGTTTAAAAAATCACTGTCTTGTTGACTTACTTCAAGCCTGTGAGTTCCAATCCAAACAGGTGAATTACAGCACTGCTGAACAGAAAACTGGAGAAGATGGTAAACAGACCAGCAATACCTGTATCCAATAGAAAGAAAAGTGAGAAAAGGTTCAAAATAAAGAAATAACTAAAACTTTGTTTATATCTGAATGTAAGGATGAGAACTAGGAAGAGGCAACAGCATAATTCAATTCACATTGAAAAACAGTTTTGTATGTGCATGCAGTGCCTCCTGTATTTTTTCTTTAATTTTCACAATCATCAATTCTGAAAAAAAATGTACGGCTGTAAGTTTGAATCTCTACATTTATGACATCCTATAGAAATGTATCATTTGAAATTAACTAGTGTTTAAATGTAGTACCGTACTTGCCGGAGATAAGGCTGCACCGCTGCATAGACCGCACCCCTAACTTTGACATTTCAAAGAGGGGAAAATAAAAAAATGAAAACGGACAAAACAAAATAATCATAATTTTCTCGAAAACACCATTTTTTTTTTTACAAACTGATACCAAATTCATCCAAATTCTTATAATTTATCGGAAGATTAGCTAAAAAAGTGATCGCAGGCAGATTTGGTGTCCGATATACCCCTACCACAATATACGGTGTAATGCGAAACTGCATGAAATGGAAAAACAAAATGGCGACTTCGGATGGATGTTCGCAGCAGCTCCATTAGACTGTCCCTTCCTTTACCTTTGTAATGCATTAGCACGAACTTAGATCAAGATCTATCAGCAAATGTTGTGTTAGGACGTTTATTTTCGTCTTCATGTCAACAATGCAAGATAAAATTGTCAGTAAGATGTTTGGAAATGTCCTGTACCATAGTGGTATTGTTATTTTACCGTTTCTAGCCCCATACGTGCAAATTCGTGTTGGTTTTGACTTTCATTTTTTTTGTTTTTTTTTACTCTTTCGTCGTAAAGGCCGCACTCCGACTTTTTGATATTTTCTCTTCCAAAAATACTGCGGCCTTTACGCCGGTAAATACGGTACAGTATATCTATAAAATACATCAAAGTGGATGTCAAGATGATTGATTATAATCCCAATTAATTATTAATTGGATAACTCTTTGATTGAAATGTGTTCTTTGGATAGAGTACACTGCAAAAACTGCAACTACAAAAATTGGAATGTACATTTACATACATGTCGATGAATTGGAGAAAAAAAGAAAGCAAAACCCTAGAATCAAATCACTTTTGAGACTTGATTTGCTTACCTAGAATGTATTTAGACCCTGTGGTTCTCAGCTTAGTAAACTGGAGGTAGAGATAAGCCACAGCTAATGTTCTCATGATACACATGACGAGCACATCAGAAGAAAGTGATGATTCCTGCAGAAGAAAAAAAAAATTGAGATTATTAACCCTCATCATTTATTAAAGTCAGCTTTTGTGCCATGATGACACTCCCTCCCTCCACATCTACTTGCTTAGAGCATCCTGGAATAAATTCTTGTCAAATCATGAAGAATTTATGATCTTCCTCGTGCTTCTACGAGCTAGTTATTCCTGAAGAGGCTGAATAGAGGATGAACACTCAGAATTGGTTAATTTGTGTCATTTATTAAATGTTTAAGTCTAACTGAATGCTTTCACCAATAAAGCATGTGATCTTACTGAAGATAATACTTTGAATAAAATGCACAGGTTTCTGAATCGAATGTTTCAGCCGGAAGTATAAAATCAGGTTTTTAAGAATAGTGAGCAAAAACTGAGAATTTATATTGTCAATTAGGGGAATACCAGTGATGACATTTGCAAATGATTTTTTTTAAACAAATGCCCCCTTTTTTTTGTAGTCTGAGGGGCACGAATCAAAACATCCAGGAAACATTCATGAAATTTTCACGAGAAGTATCCTCTTCCTGTGCCAAAGCATTGTGATTTCCCCACTTCTACTAAACAGCTTTTCTTGATGTCACCTTCTATGAACCCCTTTCAGAAGTTAAAGATAAAATTGAGTTCTCGTCATGCGATTGCATTGTGAAAGAAACATTGCAGAATAATCAGAAAAGGTTAATCATGTAGCACATAAGTATTGGAGTGTGCTGCAAGGTTCTGGAGTCATCAAAATGGTAAGAAATTTGGCCCAGTCTTGGTAAAGTTACAAGCACTGTGACTGTACACAGAAAGACGTATATGGGACTACCTTATTTGCCGGCGATAAGGCCGCAGCGCCGTATAGGCCACACCCGATTTTGACATTTAAACAAAACAAAACAAAAACAAAAAAAAATTGTCGAAGTCAGGATTTGAACTCTTGCGTATAAATGTTGATTTGACTAAAATCACTGCCTTAGACCGCTCGGCCATCCCGCATTAATGCTAACCTATGTAGTTTTTTGTGATGTATACATTGCGCCTCTCTCTTGTGTATTGAAATGGATTCAAAATAGCGACTTCGCGTGCTGGATGCTTCGCGGCAGCTCCGTTAAACGGGCCCTTCTTTTACTTTTGCAATGCATTGGCACGAACTTAGATCAAGATCTATCGGCAGATGTTGTTTTTGGAAGTTTATTTTCGTCTTCATGTCAACAATGCAAGATAAAATTGTCGGTAAGATGTGTGGAAATGTATAGTTATTGTACCGTTCGTAGATCTAGTCCCATATGTGCAAATTCGTGCTGGTTTTGACCTACTTTTTTAAAATTTGTTTACTCTTTCGTCGCATAGGCCGCACCCCGACTTTTTGATATTTTCTCTTCCAAAAATACTGTGGCCTTTACACCAAGAAAATACGGCACACGCACATGTGGCATAAAAATCTGTCCTGATTTGTAGGATGTTACATGCCATATTTAGAATATTAAGGCATATGCAGATCCATGCTTTTCAGGGAACATTTTTTTTCTGATGTTCTTCCACACATGCACAATACAATGATAACACTCACAAATTATTTTTCACCTCTTCCCAGAACTCAACACTTTCTTTAAGGACGGTAATCCCTGTATTTCCTACTAAAAGATTGTCAAAATGATACAAACATTGGGACGACTGCCAAAAAAATTGTGGGGAATTTTCAAAGTATTACATGAAAGAATTATGAGAACATTCCAAAATGTATTCCCCATTTCTGTTATCATGTACATTGCTCCCAATTGTCATCTAGGAAACTCTACATAATCGTATGAAAGAATTACATATTTTCTTTCTATCTTTTGTCTTGTATAATATAGTCCTGTGCCTCTTATTGTACATTCCTACACATCACATTTCCTTTGCAGCATCTTTTTAAAATGTATCTAATGGGTGATATCTAATAGGTGAAATAGACTGCTTCAACACCTGTGCCTAATTCATCATAATCTTCATACTCAACTTACTTTTGTATACCGGTACATGCTTTCACTCCGTACTTGTAGTTATACTTTTTTCCTCTCAAATAATAGGGTTAAAATAACAATTGAATAGTTGTGAAATTCAGTATAATTGAAAAGAGAACCAAGGGCTGTAGTGTTCAGTTTCCTTTTCCCCTCCCAGGCACATGTGACAGCAAATACTTAATGATGGTGATGGTGGTGGTGGTGGTGGTGGTGGTGGTGGTGGTGATGATGATAGTGGTGGTGGTGGTGGTGGTGATGATGATGATGATGATGATGATGATGATGATGATGATGATAATTATGGTGATGGTGATGGTGATGATGATGATCACAATGATAATAATTTCTGTAAGATGCGTACCTTAACTTGTGGTGCACATTCGTAGTTCCATCCGCATATCCTTGGCAGACCGGTGAAGTAGTTCATGGAGAGCATACAGATGGTTAGGGTGAGGGTACAGACGATCACTTCCCAGGGGTGCGAGGAACAGAACCTCCCCTGGGCTAAGAATAGGCGCGATAACATGTTGGATCTTACTCTGTAGGGAAGAGAAAAAGGAGAAGACCAATAATGTACACTGTATATCAAGTAACATCTTCAGTACTTTGTGTTTAATAACATCACACTGGAACAAATCGCAGGCCTACTTTTTATGTTGTAACACTGTACATCTCAAAATTGATGATGCTGCAAATCATATGAATTATTGTTTTGATGTAAATGAAATCCTCCTTAGTGGAGAAAAAGAGGGGGAAATATTCAAAAACAAATGTATATTATATCACAGTACCAGTATGACACTCTAAAATTCCTTTATCTCTGTGCAGACTTGCAAATATTGTCATTTGTGTCAGGATGCAGAGCAGTAAATGAAATTGGTACATGTACATGTACATGTATGTTAATATTCTCATTCTTTTATTTTGCTTTTTATGTATGTATACATGAATGTCTGCTTCATGTAGCTCATAAGCATATTGGAGGCTCTGATTTTCAGTTGTCATTCTCGATCATGAGTGCTGCTGCCGCTGCATATGCTATTTCTTTCCTTATCATGTGTCTAAAGCAATTTGCATGTATAGTTAAGCATCATTTCTATTATGAAAATCTATACAGTAGCTTATCTAGACAAGCTTGTCAATGTTATCTGTATGTTGTTGTAATAACCGTGAAGAAACTTTATTTGTTTGGTTTTACCTGGGATACTGTATCAGGTTTGACAATTAAAGCACACAACCACACATCATAAATTCATGAAAAATATCTTGCTCGGTCTCCTCTTCTGTGTATTATCTCTTTATCTCTTATAATCATGGGACTACTTTTATGGTTACAAAGGTACCAGTTGATGTGGTCTTTTACGATTAATAAATACAGAGAAGATCAACTCAAGGATTCACTATTAGACTACTATAGATATACCAGTATTTATATCTCTGTTCATCTATCATCCTGAGAAACATCATCAAACATGTCCCCCATACTTTTTAGAGCCTGTTGAAAATGTTTTTAAAAAGAGCCTGGTTTGCTGCTACCTCGTCAAGCCTGGGGGCATTAGTAATACGGTACTCCATGTGAAGCAAAACTGCATTTTTCTAGTGAGTGAATATGAACCTTTTTCTTCAATACACATAGATACTTGTAGCATTCCTGGTAGTGTTACAAAACAACTTGTAGAAACATGTCACTTTTGTTTTGAAATACCACCGGAGGAACAAAAAGTTTACAGTGATGCATTAACAAAAAGCCAACATGTGGGACAAAAGTTTTCGATTTTTCAGTGACTATTTTTTTTACTATTATACTCAACAAATAAACAATAACTGTAATTGTTTCCTCAGCACAAAGTACAAACAAAACTCCAAATCATGCCCGAAGATATTGATAATGTAGATTAAAACACAGAAGCGTAAGATGAATACATTACCGGTAACCTATTTATAGTATCAATGACCAGCCTATAAATAAAGCTTGCATGCAACACGCTTTCAGTTCAATCACCACCAAGCTGTATGACCTTTCACCATGATCACACCATCAGCTGTGAGGAGTCTGAGGACAGTACTGTACTCACACTAGCAGAGCAATTCATTCAATCATTCATTCGTTCGATCACTCACTCGCTCTTTTAAGAATTCATTCATTTTTTTTTGGGGGGGGGGAGGGGGGAGGGGAGGGGGCATTTTGCAGGCACTAACCCTCATCAGACATGACACAGGGCGGACTGCACCTCACAGACCCTCTACATGTACAGGTACAATATACATGTACATGTACATTTAGATGTTTGTTCCTGTAGTAATTTTATAATTCTCAGTTCTTAAAAATAAAAAAATTCAACCAAAGGTCAAAAAACTACTTTGTGGAAAATTGCAAAAAAAAAAAAATTGTTTTAATTTGTAAATGTGGGATTTCTGTGGGAAAAGAAATTTACCGGGTATATGAATTTTTTTTTCTGTTACCTTTATATGAAAAAAAATCTACTATTTGATCTATTTCTTACTACAGTTCTTTACAAGGTCTCAAGAGCATTTCTCACTGCTTCTTTATACCTTTATACAGATTCAACTGCCCCCCCCCTCATCAAACAAGAAAAAAGAGGAAGAGTTTGCAAGAAATTTCAGGTTAGTGACATATATTATGGTGTCATTTCAAGTTCAATGAGCTGACAAGTGCATGCAAATACTTATCTTATCTTTGTATTAACAAAAGAATTGATAAGGCTGGATGAACCTACATGTAGCATAAGTTATTCAATATTTAAACAATGAGTCTAGTATTTATGATTATCTACAAAAGTAAGGTCATTAACTGATTAATGTCATACATGCGAGATCCGACAGAAAAAATATTTCAGAGCACGAGTCAACTTTTTATCAACTTCAAAGGCACAGCCTACATTTGATTGTATATCAATTGTGGTGTGATAAAACCTTGTAACTACAAATAACATTTACCTGAGAGCAAAATGCTGATTTTTTTTTTCTTTTGATTTTTTTTTTTAATGTATAGAAAAAAACCTTCCTTTTTTAAGATGCTTGTGAAATTATTATCAATCATTATTATTAGCTGATCTGCCGCGCAACTACAGGCTAATTAATGCAATCTTATGCCCGGTCTCATGCATTTAAGCCTGCCATAGGGCCTACGGCAGACTGTTTCTACATGTGTTACGTCTAGTTCAAAGCGGCAGATCACCTATTAAATTTGTCACTGTGACGAATTCAATATGTCTACCGTTATTTTTTGTTGTTGCAGATATATGCACGAAAGCTTGATAAAGTTTTATACACAATGAGCTTCTTTTATTCCACATTTTCATGTTTTACTACATTGTGTAAACATATATGGCACCAACAAAAGATTGACATGCAAATTAACACATCTTCATGGCAAAAATTCAATTCCACATGACCGAGCTCTGTCCAGCATGTGAAAGTCAGGACAAGGACACAGCTCTTGTGCAGTGAGATGGAGGAATATTATTCAGGTGCTTTTCCATGCACTGTTTGGTCAGTGAGTGGGTTGTGAATCCTTTTTATTACAATAATGAGACCCTTGATGCTTTGTACACACATGCAGTGAGATGGAGGTAGAAAGTTTTCAATAGACCGATTTACTAGAATGAAAGGCATCGTTTAACAATGTTAAATCTGATATGCACGGCCCTACGTGTTATCAGTGTCTGTGATATGGTGTAATATTGAAGCCCTAAAAACATTGTGCTTCAAAATGACCCAAGAAGTGCCTCAAAAAAAGTTTAAATATTTGAGTGACCGGTTTAACCATACTCATTTTCCACAATAGACTGTAGTGTTATGAAAACAGTTATGAAAATGCAAAATTTTATTTTGATTTCCAATCATAAATATCTTGATAATCAGACAGGCGATCGGCTAGTAAATGTCATGGGGTTCCTGACTGACCTAAAGGTTTATAATTAATTAATTATCATTGCAGCATGAGATAAATCCAGGATTTTGTTTCAGAATCTGAGACAAAGTTACCCAATCCCTTGAACATATTCAAATTTATTGGATGTTTCTTTCCTGGGGACCTAAGCTAGTGACGATTATTCCATTAACTCGTTATTAATGAATGAACTTCAATACTCTAAATCCAGTCTGCATGCATTACTTGTTGCTATGTCGGGCAATCATCGTACAAGCTTTTACATGAAGGTCAATAAGAACAACCTTTGTTTAAAAAGTATGCATAAAATTTGAACATGTTAGTAAGCTGTTCTACAATAATGTATATTGCTTGCTTGGTGAGGAGTGGACTGTGAATCCTGTTCATTACTAATGACGAGATAAGACCATCGATGAAGGGTGCCTATTCATGCACCAACAACAACAAAAGAAGAAAAAAATTAATTGTTTTCAAAGCATTGTATTGCATGTCAAGGTTCATAATACTAACAAAAAAGAGGAGACACAATTTTTTTTTTTTTAAGAGGAATATACACGATGGGTAAGTACAAAGTATCTACCGGTAGTCATTTGTTGTCCCATACTGTATGTAACCAAGAATAAAGAAATATAAAATTAACCTTGTTAATGAATTGTAGGTCTGATCCGAATTCTGTTAAGGCCGTCATGCCAGATCATTTTGATCCTTTTAACTTCCATTTATATTGTCTGATTTCATCTTTCTGTTCATTTTTGCGATATGTATACTCTGATTGGTGCAAGACAAAAGGCGTTAGTACCTGTTTTATCTGTATTTATCGCGATTAAATATATATAAATTATAAATATCTATACAATGATTTCTTTTTTCTTTTTTTTGAAATCCGTAATTTTAAACATTACCTGTAAACGTAATGATCATTAATTTCTGTACCAATTACAGGAAATCCGTACTAGTCTAGTAGGCAGCTATGCAACCATGACCAACATTCTTTAATAACTTTGCATCAAAAGTTAAAAACTTCTTAATTTTGAGTTTACATAAAACACTAAACATAAAAAATTGCACCGCTCCACACCGGCTGTTATATACAATGAATTCTGCTAGTTTGAACATACATGTAGGGTTACTTTTATATTTGCTTTTCAAAGAATCCACAACCGTGACCGACACTGTCTAATAACTTTGCATCGAATATCAAAAGTTAAAAACAAAATTGGTAACTAGAAAATTTCACAGTAAGATCAAATGTTAATCTAATTTTCTACCATGCCAATTTCTTGTTTAAAATTGTTCAGCTTGCTCCGTCTTTTCCCTCTTTTTTTGATGCTGTTGCAAAGCAGAGAACATATGGCTTTTCTATTTCTGAAAAGTACATTTGATTGCTTTTCCACCCATGTAAAGAATGACTGTTAAAATATAACATGGTGGATTAGTCTAGATCTACCAGTAGATAAATCAGGGTTAACTCATGATCAATTTTCCAGCCTCTCCATTCATGGGTTTGAAAAGTTGTCTGTCAAAAAATAAAAGTGTACCAATCCGGTACCAATCAACAAAGAATAGTATGTTACATGTATGTACATGTATATCAAGACTTCCATGTTAATGATGTGATACTATTCAA